AGCCCTCACCACCAATGTTCGCATTGCGTATTTGCTAATGTTCGTCAACTATGGCGCCGGTGCGACACCAAGCTTTCTCCGAAGAGTAAGGTTTATAATGTGGGTATACGTTTGACCCGACTGTACGATTGTGAAACCCAACCAAGTAGATCGGCAGACATAAAGAAGCTAGTTACGTTCGACCACCGGTGCCTTCGCACTTTGGCTCATATCTGGTGCGAAGATGCTGTGAGCACTGAGGGTGTTCGGTGCCTTATTTATGACACAGGAAGAGGAAGTGAACCGCTCATCACCGTGATTTAACGCACCAGGCTTTGATGGTTAAGCCACGTGTTGTGCATGCCAGCCCACCGGCTCCCGCTAGGTGCTTTGCTCGCTGGGGGTTTGGATGGAAGAAGAAGCAGAAGAGGAGAGGCCAGGTGATGACTTAGTCAAGATGAATGAAGGCCCTTAGTTCCAAGTTGACCTCGGTTGGATACTCTCGGATTCAGTGACACGGTTCGTAAGATGATGAACACGTTCGGTTAGATGCATTTATTGACACGGCTAGGAACCGATCTCAGTGGCGTTTGGGCTGTGAGTTTCCAGGTTCTTTCTCCTCCTGCTTAGGTTATCGCTTCAACCATGACCTTATGTCGAAAGCACAAGATAATTCTTTTCTTCCGGCACAATCGACAGCTGGTAGCTCTCCGGAACAATATCCATCTGTCGCTGGTGACTCAGCCGGCGCACCACTGCTGTATGTATTTTAATTAATTTCCTATGTATTACGGCATAATAGCTGAGGTGTTTTCCACCTTTAGTTACTTTGTACAATGAATGGATAGTCCGCCAGTGAATATGCATAAAAACTGTTCGATTGTACCTTACGTCCCAGCTTGGGCATGCGGTAACTCCCGGAAAGATATTTTGGGTTGAAGTCGCCCAGAGTTTGGGAGCAAGAATCTACGAATACAAAACGAAATTAATGTCAAGTACAATCCTTTGATTTTCTAACAACTACAACTCTATGTGTGTCGCTGCAAGCATAAAGCTAACATTCTTGATTCAGAGTAATGATTACCTACTTGTAACGGATCGGGTTCCGCTGCACCGTCCTCTGAGGTATCAACAGCATGGACCTTGGATATAGGGGAATTCTCAGGACGAACAGTAGTAACGCTGCATTTTGTTGCGGAGTGATCAACAGAGTACGCGGGGGTGCTTGGTTTTGTCACTTTCACTGCCGGTGCTCTGAAGCCTTTGAACTTCTTCGGAGAGTTCGGAAGTGCTTTTGGAATCGCTCTGCAATTTGCATTATTTGTGTTGCTCGGAGGAGACTTTGAGGCAGCGGTTTCCGTGGGGTCAGCAGCTTTCTTGGTAACAGCGGGGGCGGAGGAGGGGGAGGATGCGTCGAGCTTGGTCAATAGAGAATCGACGCCAACTGGTGGCTTCTTAGGCTGTAACAGCAAATGAAAGAATAAAGGGAAGTTGAGGATCTAACAGGCCGGACAGCGAAGGATCCGGAAGAGTGAGCCCGAAACTCACGACAATTGCAACAAAAGGCACATGAAACAAAATGAGGAGGAATGCCAAATAAATAGTACAATAGTCAACGCTGGTACCGCAGAGTGAAGAAGCGCCCTAAGGAAAAGGTGACAAGGTGTCTGTTGTCACGCAACTTCTAGGTGTTGGATGGGGACAGGATACTATTCCTAACATGAAAATTGAGATGATGCCGCAAATTGGCGAGAATCTGGAATAGAACACAAAACTTTTTGGGTCGGCATCCTGGTGCGCTGAGCAGCTGAGGATGTGCAAAGTAACAGCTGCAGTGAAAGGATTGTCCTGTTCTCCGAGCTGGGCAGGACAATCCTTTCATCCACATCCCGAGCTACAGATATTCTCATTAATTTCCAAACAGCTGCAGTGTTAGAATGCTAGATAGGAAACCAGTGTGACGACAGCAATAAGTTTAGAGTGACCCGAGAAAGACTGGTGTTTTCTAATCCGATAGGTATACGGCCAATGAGCCCTGAATCAAAAGGCACTCTTAATTAGAAAACCATGTTACGTTGGCATCAGCTACGAAGCAGGCGCATCATAGTACGATGTGAACCGGAGACTAAAGTGAGGTCGTCCATGTGGCACAAAAGGTAGACGGTTCCTCACTGCACTTCGACAGCGCACATACCTAGAGAAATCTGCCAGCTAAGGAAAGTGTGCGTCTACATTGATCGTATTCAGGTAGGTGGCTGGATCACCTTGAAAGCAAAGTACATATGCTTTTACATGGATGGCCAGATATGGGTTTTGAAGCGAAAGCTGAACTTAAGGGAGACATGCGGAACATCACTCTAAGGCACAAAACTAGACAGTTGCATGAAAGACTGCAAGATCAGAGTATGCGATACTAAAATCAGTCACATGTGGAGAACATGAAAAATATGCCAAGCATTTCGTAATGAATAGAAACTCTTTAGAGGCTCAATACCCCTAACACAGCCTTGCTAGAATAGACCTGAGAATACCGCAATGGTGATCGGATCTGAGATTTGCTTTGGAGCACTATCTACTCCGTGGACACTGTCGATGTTCGGGTGGGACTAATGGTAGAATAAAAAGAAATGTATTTTCGTGTGGCTAGATTTTGTCACACATAAAGGGTGCCGATCCATTAAATCAGCCAATAAGCCAAAGGCAGGAAAGCTCGATATGGCCATCAGGTTTAACAGGCGTTGCGCAATGCGTCTGCCCTAAGCGCCGTTCTATGCGGTCTCTACTTGCGGGACAGAAATAAGAAGGGTATACTCAGCCAGCCGGCTTCAAAGATGGGTCGTCATACTACTTGGTTACGAGTTCGAGAAGCAATTCTGCCGCACGGAGGATTTTGGCCAAGCCGACGGGCTGTCTCGCCTCATTCCCAAGTGTGCAGTAGAAATAAATAGATAACTTCTCTATTGTCGGACGATGCGAAATTCACCTATATAGGCATGATCACGGTAAAGGTACAACTGAATATCGGGGAACGGATAAAAATGGTGCAAGTTAGTCATGTACATTGAAGCTGTGTGTTTATAAAGGTAGGTGAGAGTGCATGTGTGTATCTACTATTCGAGTTTGGATATGTGCAGCTGCAATTATGATAGATGAGGTGGATAGTGTGAGTAGGGTTGAGTGACGTGCATTGCGTGATTGCGGTTGGCTGAGTAGCCATTGAGCTGTGAATTTACTTGGAGGCGGGTTAACATCCACCTCGTAGCAGTGCTGCTAAACAGACATTAGTGACTTTGTATAGGGAGAACACTTGCCAGATGAAAACCCACCACATCCTGGAACAATGTCGGGGTATACCCGAACCACCCAGCTGGTACCGTGGGGAAGTCATTATTGCTTTGTCGGTTAAGGAGCCTGTTACCACGGTGTTTTTTGTAGGTTGGTCACGGCTTTTCCAATCCCCTGGATATAGGTATCCAGATCCAGTTGACCAGTGGTAGTAGACCAGGAAGTAGGTGAGTGTGTTGGAGGTCCGATATGATTCACGTTTGTCTCTGTAGGTTCGTTTGGTCGCAGACCCACAGGCCAGGTGGGGCTCATTTGTAAGTTCCTGATGATATCTTCAGACCTCGGTATGACACAGTGATTGCAGCCATTGCCGTTGAGGCGGACGTGTGCCATGAACTTTCGAAAACGATCCGTAGCCTTTCTGCCACTGTCGCCGACATCCGTCGTGCCATCAAACAGAACCCTATCCTCTGCCAGGCTATCAACTACGTCAAGACAAGTTGTCTTACAACTGCCGTGCCTGGATAACAAGCAGCTCCTACGGCGTTGTGATATTCCGTCTGTCGTAGATTACTGTCTCATAACTGATGATAGAGACGTGGTCCCAGCCTGCCTTCGTCAAGTCGTGTTTCGTCAGTTCGACTCTGCACATCCTGGTAAGAGTAAAATGAAAACAATCGCTCAAAGCTATGTTTAATGGTCCGGTGTAAACACCGACACAGAAGAGCTTGTTCGCCAGTGCTCACGATGCAACCAAGCAACCAGGATGCCGTCATGCCAACCACCAGCACCTTGGAAACCCACCGAGAAATCTTGATCTCGCACATATGTTGACTTCGCTGGTCCAATCAACGGCTGCTCTACCTGGTCCTTAATGAGGCCTACTGCATTTGACCCGAAGTTGTGCCACGCTTGCTTGTGTCTTGCGAATCTTCAATTAACACAGAGTGTTAGTTTTCCTTGCGTCAGACAACGGCGCCCAGTTCACTTCCTCGATTTCGATTATTTCTGCCACCTTGAGGAGGACAGCCACTTTCGTGAACTGTTCTATCATCCCATTCAAATGTGAAAACGGAACGGTTCGTGGACACTATCAGGAGAGCAATCCTGAAGTCACAAGGAGGACAGTGGATGTAAGTATCCATATATTTTCAAACTTGGATTTAGAGTACCCGCCGTGTGGTCGGATTGCAACCCGCAATCACTATTGAGACCTCGGTTCACTCTGAAGTAGCTCTCAGTCATTCAGATCACAAAGACCGTCCCCGAAATGAGGGTGTTTCCGTGTTGCTCCTCGCAGCACTGACACCCAAAGACCGACGGTTTCGTCATCGTTTGTACTAATCAGGTGGTGATAGTCTGTGCTGGGGTGGAACTCAGGGCCTAGTGGTTACCGGATGATCCCTTGATTACTATGCTGTCGCTTAGTTTACATAAACAACAGCCTAGTACAGTGCCACATTACGAAGCAGCCGCGGTGTCAAACACATATTGCATGTTCTGCACGTCTGACAATTCAGTAGAGTAACTGGAGCACGAGCCATCTGGCGGAATTGCAAAGAACCGGCGACGGACGAGATCTCTGTGTAGACTAACTATTCTGCTACCCAGTAGAACCACCTCCGGATTTTTCATGACAACTTCATGCCGGAATATCAACAGTTCAAACGGTGAACACGCATGAAAAGGTACACAAAAGTTGCCAAGTCTAGACTGAAGTCCATTTGGTTTTATCACATTACTTGTTTACTTGTTTCAGTTTCTGGTTTGGTCCAGAGGGCGAGTGCGTCAGGGAAGCACCAATGAAGGATTACACGGCCAAGCTTTATTACTACTCGTAACACAAGAGTAGTTTAATTTCAACCGCAATCCGATTCATCAGCAGGATGGTGGATAGTTCACTTCATTAAATAGATACATAAATAGTTTATTCTCAAATTTATAGTGACACATGGCGCTTTTCATAACCTTTGTTACCTATGGCGCTGGCGTGATATCACGCTCTCCCTGAAGAATAGAGTTTACAATTGCAATCGTCTGTTCAATCCTCTTATACGGCCGTGAAATATGGCCTAACAGGTCGACAAACACAAGGATACTAGTTACGTTCGACCACTGGTACCTTCGCAGTTTTGTCGCCTATCTGCGTGAGCAATGGGGATGTTCGGCATCCTATGGCACAGGGAGAGTGAGTGAACCGCTCAGCACCGCTATAGCACCCAGAAGGTTCCAGCAGCTTGGCCGTGTTTTACACGTGAAGGCGTAACGGCTCACGTAAAGTGTGTAACTAGGGTCTGGGTGGAAGAAGAGGATAATAATAAAAACGAATCGCCAGCTGTACGCCGTAACGGCGCTTCGCTGCCACGCGACCACCACCAGTCGCGCGTGGGCTGAGTGTACCGCGAGGACGCCCACCCCTACGCGGATTCGGACCGGTGACCTTATGGTTGCAAAGCAGACACGCATACCACTCGGCCACCGGCCGACGAAGGTGATAGAAACCAAGGGATGAGTTGGTCAAGAGAAACGAAGACCTTTATCTCAACTTCGCGTCCGTTAGTGACCTCGGACTGGGGTCCGAAAGACGATGCACACGTTTGTTTGAATTCACTTTTAGACATAATCAGGAGCTGACCTCAATGGCCTTTGGGT